GAAGGAGCCTGGAGCAGGTCATTTGGATTATGCTCAATAAAGAACTATCTAGAAACGTGCTGTTTCAGAAAACTTGCTCTATCTCTATAATCAACAATATTGTTTTTTTAAAATATAAAACTGTCAACATTTAGTGTGGTTTTCAGTAGATGAATAATACATAATATAGTTATTTAAAAATGGCAACAGTAACCCAGGACTCTCCACTCAGTTTACAAATTGTCCTTTTCCTCTTACTTTAAATTTGTATATTTTAATTTCTTTTTAAAAATATTTTATTTTTTTATATGTATGTATGTATTGCCTGTATGTAGGTAAGTGCACCTGTGTTGTGCAATGCCTGCAGAGGACAGAAGAGGCTATTGGATCTCCTGGAACTGGAGTTACAGACAGTTGTTAGCTGCCATGTGGGTGCTGGGATTCAAACCTGGGTTTTCTACAAGAACAACCAGTGTTCTTAACCACTGAGCCATCTCTCCATCCCCCTATTTTAATTTCTTATGTTGACTATGGAATGTTTTGATATTATACAGAAAGTGATTAGTGGGCATTAGTGCTTTTAATAGTATAGAAAAGCTTAGAGCATATGATTGTACTTAAATGCTTTTATGAATTATTAAATTTGTCATAATTGGTCCCTTTGAGACTTTTGGTATAATTATCTTTGTTTTTAATATAAAACTTTGCTGAAGACACATGAAAGAATGAGAGTATTATAAGAATATCTGATTATAAGCACATTTGAACTTTTCTACTTTGATTATGTACAAATACAATGCTAAGTCACTGAGGAGAGCCTTTTGGAAGATTTCTATTATTCACAAGAATATTTCAAATATCCATTAAAATTCTTTGATAATTTCACACATGTAGAAAAAGAATTTTTGTCATTTTCACCCCCCAGTACCCTCTCTTGTCTCCATCTACCTCTAAACTGTCTTTCTTTCTCTCTCTCTTTTTTTTTGAGCCACTGAGTTCAATTAGGATTGCTTGCATGAGCGTAGGTGGGAGGTTATTTATTGGAGCATACAGCTAACTAAAGAATAGTTATACCCTCTTCCCCAGCAACCATAACTGCCAACAGGGAGGGGTGGAGCCCCTCCCCCAACCATGATGAAATGTTGACAGGCCAAACCTTGTGTAGGTAACCAACCACAGCAGCTATGAGCGCCATACATTTGATTATTTACACGTGTGAGTATGAGTATGCGGTGCTGCGCATGTGGCGGTAGAAGACAGTTTGTAGGGGTCAGTTCTCTCCTTCCTCCATGTGGGGTCCGGCTGAGCCGTCTTGCCAGTCCCTGCCATGGAGAGCAATCATGTGGGATGACAGCTGAAGAGCAGTAAGGCTCTTCGGTTTTGTTTAAACAAATTTGGTTATTAATGGAAATATGATGCTTAATAAAGATTGTCAGCAATACAGATGATTTTTAGTTGTAGGGTGTATGTCTGTGTTGATCCCCCTCTCCGAATCAGGTATATAGTTTGGAAGGGCAGTCTTAGCCAAGCAGCGATCCTTTTACGTATACACATAGGCTTAGAGGTCAGGGAAATCTTCGAATATACACAATAGCACGTTTATAGATCTAGGGGAAGTCCCAGTAGAATGGGGGAGGTTGACAGGCAAAGAGTTGCTGATTTTATGGAACTAGGGTCAGGTAGTGAGAACGGATGGAGGGGAGTGGGAATCGACATTCACAGGACAGATGGATGGGAACAGGGACTCTAGCATGTAATTCTGATGAATTCTTAGAGGTTGGAAACAAACAGGAAAGCGAATAGCCCAGTGTCTAGGATTATTGTGGCTGAAAAGAAATGAGGAGCCTGATCCGGGTATACCATGTGCGCACCCCGCCACCTACCTGTCTATTAATAGCCACTAAGTCAACTAAAAAGAAAGCAATGACTTACTTTTATAGATAAACTAACAACCAGAAAGACAACTAAAGAAAGTCCTTCTTTTTATTTCATTTTTGCTTTGCTTTCACGTTTTTTAATTTTTAATTTTTGGTCTTTTTGAGACAAAGTTTCCCTGTAGCCGCAGCTGGCCTGGATTTGCTAGTGGAGACCGGGCTGGCCTCGAACTCACAGAGATCCACCTGCCTCTGCCCACCAAGTTCTGGAATTAAAGGCATGTGCCAGCACACCCAGCCTGTGAGAGACTTTTTTCTCTCTTTATCTCTGTGGGCCTTCAGTAAACACTTGTCAGCTGATTAACTATGGAAAGGTTAAAGCAGATACACATGTCTAGTGATCTGGGTAACAGGCATTATGATTAGAAATTTTAATTTCAATGTCAGTTTCAATATAGTCATTTCTCATTTGATTAAGAATATATGATTCTTATATAAAATCTCAATGAATTCTCTGTGTGTGTGTGTGTGTGCATGTGTGGCGCATGCATGTGTACCACACATGTACCACACATATGTGTGTGCTGGTATTTGTGAAGGCCAGAGGTTGGGGTTGGCATTGTCCGCTATCACTTTTCACCTTTAAAAAAGTATTTTAGAAAAGTTATTTAATTTATTATTATTGTGAGTGTACATAGTGTGTCTTTGTGGGTGTGTGTGCTTGAGTGCCATGACCTGTGTGTGATCAGAGGACAACTCTGTGAGAGTTAGTTCTCTCCTTCATCTTTACATCGGTTGTAGGACTGAACTCGGGTTTGTCAGGCCAAGTCCTTTTACCTCTGAGCCATTGTGCCAGCCTTCTACCTTATTTTTTTGAGAGATGATTTCTCACCGATCTTGAAGTTCACTGATTGAGCTAGATTTGCTGGCCTTGAAGCTCTTGGGGTCCTCCTGTCTCCGCCTCCCCATTGCTTGGATTACAATTCCTTGCACCTGCCTTTTATGTGGCTGCTGGGGAGCCTGACTCAGGTCCTCATGTTTGTTTTGTTTTGTTTTGTTGTTGTTGTTGTTGTTGTTTTTTTTTTTTTCTTCTGTCTTTTTGAGACAGGGTCTCCCTGTAGCCCCAGCTGGCCTGGAACTCACTATGTAGACCAGGCTGGCCTTGAATTCATAGAGATCCACCTGCCTCTGCCTCCCAAGTGCTGGGATTAAAGGCGTGCGCCACCACGCCCGGCAGGTCCTCATGTTTGTAAAGGCAGGTATTTAATCAACTTATTCATCTCCCCATCCTCTTCAATTCATTCTTAAGGATAATGTTAATATCCTAGAGAATAAATTATTATTTGTCTTGTCTAACTGTTAATGCCTTTCCGGGGCATCTCCTCTTTTCTTTAATATCAGCTGTTTAGAGTCATACTGGCTTTTCTGTGCAAGAAGTAAATCGCCCCTAGCCTTTTTCTGTAATGAAAACTCTCAGATAAACAGCTTTCAAAACACATACAGACAAATCATGTCTTGTGGTTTCTCATTTAAGTCTTTTCTTTGTATTTTTTAAAAGTACCTTATGAGTTTGTATTCATGCTCAGATGCTGAGGAGCTCAGAAGGTGGGCGACTGTGACCAGTGATAGTCATGTATATAGAGATTAGAAATGCATGTGAAAACGTCTCAATGTCGATAGGCTTGGAATGAATTTTTCTGTATGAAACTGTGTGTTTTGACAACGAAGTGGAGATCTTTTTAAACATTCAAACCTCATTTAATTTTATGTCTTATAGAGTTTATCATGTGAAAAAGATTGTATAAGCGTAATAATTCATCTGTAAACCTAGAAATGTACAGCCAATTTTGAAAGAGATGAACCCTAGCTCAGAAAAATGTTATTGAATAGGTTAATGCTGTTGTAATGAGAAGCTTCTTTTAATTAAAAAAATAAAAAAAGTACTTTAGTTATTATTCTTACTTTTTATGTGTATGAGTGTTTTGCCTGCAAGTATGTAAGTGCACCATGTATGTGCAGCCCACGCAGAGGCCAGAAGAGGCCGTCAGATCCCCTGGAACTGGAATTACTGACGGTTGCTATCTGTCATGTGGGTGCTGGGAATTGGACCCAGGTCCTCTAGAAGAACAAGTGTTCTTGACCGCTGAACCATCTCTACGGCCCCTTTTGCATTTGTTAAAAAATTGAATTTTGCAATGTTCATACAAAATAGTTTGATGGCACTTAGGTACATGCCTCTCTTTTCACTTCCCCCACTGCCCCTGCCTGATTTAATGAACTCTTGTATATATATGTATCTACACACATATGTGTATATATATGTATATAATATGGCCTATAGAGTATGATTTGTATCCCCCAATGTCCTTTAGTGTGGATCCATTCACTGGGCTCTCAACCCTGTAAGATACTATCTTTTCCCCTCCCAACAGCCATCAATTGCCAAAAATCCCTTAGGTTGGGTTGGGATTTCTTATCTGGTTCCCCATGTCTAGGCTGGGATTCTGTCTGATTTGAGCTTGCATAGGACTTGTGCATGCTGTCACCATTGCTGTGAGTTCATATGAGTAAATGACCGGCTATTTGGAAGACTCTATTTCCTTGTAGTCATCCACCTGCTCTGGCTCTTAAAATCGTTCTGTTTCTTCTTCCGCAATGATCTCTGGGCTTTGGGTGGCAGAGGTTTGTATAGGCATCCTATTCAGGGATAAGCACTCTGTGACCTCTTGTTCTCTGCACATTGGCTAATTGTGGGCTCATCTAAGTCTTAACAAGAATCTGCCAAACATGTGAGCAGAGTACTTGGATGTTGTGCTTTCATAGAGAACAAAGGACTTGCATGCTGTAAGATGTATCTTTTTGCTGACAATTAATTACTGACCAAATGCAATGCCATTTGATGAGGTTTTAAAGTCAGGTATGAATCTACTATTGTCTGCTATCACACCTAAGCCCAGGCACCATGACCTCAGAACAGATGGGGCGTATCTTGTTTCTCTGATGGTGGACTTGTACTCCTGGTCCTCTGAGGACTGAGAGGTGCTGAATATACATCTCAGCTTCTCCAAGGTTGTCATGAATCTCTGCTTTACAAAGGTTTCTCTTTACAGATAAGCTTTGTTTTTGTGTGTTTGTGTTTGTGTGCAGGCAGCATGTCAGCAGAAGCACCGATCACCCTAAATATGGACCCTCAGGACCTGCGGATCCAGACATTCACTGTAGAGAAGTTACTGGAGCCTCTGATAATCCAGGTATTAACACCATCAAGATTGCAATGTGTAGTGACTCTGCTTTAGGAGAATTAGGAAACATGGACAAAATAATGAGCCAAGGAAAGATTTGGTTTAGTACATGAATATGTCATCTAAAACTGTCCTTTATTAAGCTGGTGTTAAGATGTCACAAGTATGTATTTAGTAATAATAAAATTTTGAAATGTTTCACTTAGATCATCTTTTAATACTGACTGCTATATGATTGGGTCTCTGTAGCTCACAGTAGTCTTAAACTCATGACCCTCTTGACTCAGCCTCCTTAGTTCTTGGATTACATGTGTGTGCCATCAGGTTCAGATGTGTATATAATTAAAAAATATTATTATTATGGTGTGTGTTTGAGTGGGCTCACATGTCCTGACATATGTGTGGAGGTCAGAGGACAACTTTGAGGACTCAGTTCTCTCTTTCCATTTGATGTGGGTCCTAGGGATAGAACTCAACTGCCAGGCTAACCCTAACCCTAACCCTAACCCTAACCCATTGCCCTGGCTCCAGGTGCATATATAATTTTAAAACACCTTTATGTTAATCATCTAGAGTTAAAACCATGAAAACAGAGGTGAGTTAGCATAATCACTACCATCTTTATTAAATCGAGTGTTTCAGTGATTTGCCCTAAGAGACACAGTGGCTGATTTGTCAGATAGTCATCTATTATGAAAATATGAAAATGTGGGAGAAAAGCAGCTATGCAAAGTAATTCTGTGATAATTTTCATAAAATGAATAGCCATTTCATAATGCATAATGATTCTTTGATTTATTATATACATCCGTACATTGGATTTTCTTTGTTTTTAAAAATGTTTTAATTAGCATAAATTAATTACACATAATAATTGATTACATTATGATATCTTCATGTGTAAATAAGAAGCCTTTGGATCACATTCCCTCATTACCCACTCTCACCTTCCTCTCACTCTTGCTGAGTATGGGATTTCTTGAGGCTGAGTTTGAAGAAACTTAGGTGAAAGCATAGATCATATTTATCCTTAATGGAAAAATTTGTAAGAGAACTCCCCTTCAGATCTACCTTACATCACATTTCTAAGTTCCTTTGTTTTTGACAGGGTCTCCCTAGTCCCAGCCCACCTGGAACTCACTATGTGAACCAGACTGGCCTTGATCTCACAGAGATCCACTTGCCTCTACCTCCTGAGGGCTGGGATTAAAGGTGAGTGCCACCATGCCTGGCCTAAATCCCTTTTTCTAAAGAGTCTAAACACTCAAGGTTTACTTAAGTAAACTATAGTGGTCTTATCTCTGATCATTTGAATGTTCTCCTGGTCTTTTCTATGAGATGGCTAGGGGAGCAGCTCTGAGAACAGATTCTGTGTGTTTCCACTTAGCACAAATTGAGTTCTGCTACTGGGAAGGCAATTAAAAACATTCTCAGTGATGACAACTGAGTCATTATATTTATTTTACAGTGGAGGTCTAAAGGACACTAATACTTGGAATGAATACTGTTCAAGTCATTCACGGAATGGTTTCATGTTGAAAGACAGAAGAAAACAAAACCCCATATATATACTTTCATCCCTTCTCCCCTAGCTTAGACTCAAACTCAGAATCTTCCTGCCTGTCTGTTGAGTGCTGAGATTACAGGAATGCACCACTATGTCTGGCTTTAGTTTTTGTTTTTCTGACAATCTTTGCTGAAAAAAACTAGAATCCCCCTGGAGCTTGGAATGGAAAATTTAAAAGCATTCAATTTTACCACCAAGAGACAGGCATTAATAGTTTCATGCATTTTCCTTCTAAGACAGTACAATAGTGGGTAATTTTCTTAGAACTTTAAAATACAAAGAATATCAATCCAGAGGGCATGGTTGTGCATGCCACTGTATTAGCTACTTTTCTGTTGCTGTGATCAAAACACTCACCAAAGCAACTTATAAAAGGAAGAGTTTATTTGAGATGATGGTTCCAGAGGGATGAGAGTCTGTCACAGTGGTGAGGCATGCTGGCAGAGGTGGCTGGACCAGAAAGCAGAGTGCTTACATCCTCAAGTAGGTACAGAAATATATATGGTGCAATCATATATGTATATTTAATATGTGTATTAGTTCCTTTTCTATTGCTGGGATAGAAACACCATGACCACGGGACTTTATAAAGTAAGAGTTTATTTAGTTTACGGTTTGAAAAGGGCAAGAGTCCATCATGGTGGGGAGGCCTGGCAGCGGGAGGTGGCTGGAGCAGGAGTAGAAAACAGAGCGCTCACATCTTCAAGCAGGCACAGGAAGCAGAGAGCAAGTCGAAATCCAGCAAGGCTTAAGAACTATCTGAGCCCACCCCAAGTGACCTGTTTCCTCTAGCATGGCCACACCTTCTAAGACCTCCCTAAATAGTGCTACCAACTGGGGACAAAATGTCCAAAATACTTGGAGCCTGTGGGGGACATTCTCATTCAAATCATCATAATATGTATGTAATAAATATGCTGAAAAATAGTCTTAGTTCTTTTCCGATTGCTGTGATAAAATACCATGACAAAAGTAACTCTATTCAGGTCCCAGTTCCAGGTTACAGTCCATCAGGGCAGGGTGCTTGAGAGAACTAGTTGTGTTGCATCCGCAGTCAAGAGTAGCACACATCCGCTTGATGCCTGCTTGTCAGTGCTCGGCCAGCTCTCTCCTCTCCAGTCAATCCAGGACAAAACCAGTGAAATGGTGCTGCCCACATTCAGGGTGCGTCTTTCCACTTCAGTGAATGTAATCAAGAAAGTCCTTCATAGACATCTTTATAGGCCTTTCTCTCAGATGGTTCTAGATTGTGTTCAGTTTATAATGAAAACTAACCACCACACATATATACATGCATATGTAAAATATGCATACATAAACGAAGTGGAGGAAATACTGTATAATGTATGTAGAGAGTTTATCTGACTTTTCCATTTACAATGATATTTTGATGGTTCCCTTACCCCTCATTTTTGTGGTGCTTGGGATTAAAGTCTGGACCGTGAGCATATTAGGCAAGCACTCTACTACTGAGCTACGTCTGTAGCCCAACTTTCCCATTATTTGTAAGAACAATTTAAGAACAATTGCTGCTGACTTAACATATCATATAGTTTCACCATAGTTTTATTTAAAGTTGCCTCTCAGTTTTGGATGTTTAACTTTCTGAATCTTTTGGGTCTATTATAACTACTGATGACTGGGGATGTAGCTTAGTTGGTAGAGTTCTTGCCTTGCATGCAGGAATTCCTGGGTTTGATCCTCAGCACTGAATGAACCAGACATGGTGGCATGCTCTAATAATCCCAGCACTCAGGAGATTCAGGAAGGAAGATCAGTCCTCAGGTTTTATTCCTTTTATTATTTTTATTTTTTTTGAGACAAGGTCTTACTGTGTAGCCTTGGCTGTCCTGGAACTTGCTATATAAGCCAGGCTGACCTTGAACTCACAGAAATCTGCCCGCCCTTGACTCCAAGGTCTCACTAGACAGGAAGGTCAGAAGTTTAAAGGTCATTCTTAGCTACACAGCAAATTAGAGGCCAGCCTGGGAAACATGTCTCAAAAAAAAGTGAACATTTCTTTGCTGGACATTGCAGTATACAATTGAATTATTTCTCTAGGAATAGTTGCTAAGTATGACAATAAACAAGATATGAAAAATTTTTTTAATGCTTTTTCATGTGAACTACTAAGTTTTGGTGGGGTGAAGTTTGAGGCAGGGACTCACTCTGTAACCTTGAACTCACTAAGTACCCAAAGGTGGCCTCAATTACATGATTCTCTTTCCTTAATCTCTCTAGTGCTGGGATGTCAGGTGTGAATCACAAGTTCATTCATGGGGAAAGTCTTAAATGAATTTTTAAAACTAAAAATTTTGTTCCTATGCAATTATAGGGAAGCAGAGAAGGAAAATGCCCCTCATTTTGGAGATGGTTGGGGAAAATACATTAATATTACTGCATAACCATTATTCCATAACAATGACATTCTAGTTGGTCGCTTAAAACTTGATAGTCATAAAGGGTGCTTCCATGTTGTTTACAAGCACAGCAAGTGTTGTGGAGAAACATTTTCTGTTTGTTTTTTGAGACAAGGTCTCTCCATGTAGACCAGGTTAACCTTGATCCTCTTGCTTCAAGCCTCTTGAGTGCTGGGATTACCAGTATGCACCACTGTAGTTGGTCAGAAGCTATGTTTTATATATGAACAGAAACTAGTAGATATTTTGGTCAAGAATCTTGCTACAGCTATGCCTACCACGGCAATAGTGGCATGAATATTACAGGAGTAACCAAACACTTTCTAATTGGATTTAAGGTCCACTTTGTAAGATGGAGCCCATATCTGACATTGATATCAGGTCTAGGAACTTGAGGCTAGACAGGTCACAAGCCATATGGGAAAGCCTAATACTTTTATTTTGCTAAATGGATATAGTATTAAACTGACTCCTAATGAATTACCGTTACACCCATAGATTAATGCATCTCTCAACTCTCAGCAAAGAAGCTTTCTTACATAGCAGATGGTGATTAACACAGAGGCCCACAACTGGCCAGTGTGCAGAGAATAAGAGGCTACAGAATGCTTATCTCTGAATAGGACACCTATTATCAAACCTCTGCCTCCCAAGGCTCAGGGATCATTGTGGAAGAGTGGGTGGAAAGATTGTAAGAGACAGAGGAGGTGGATGACCACAAGGAAGCAGTTTTCTAAACAAGTGGGCTGTTAGTCATATGAATTCACAGCGATGGTGATAGCATGCCCAAGTCCCACCCAAGCTGAAACCAGACAAAAATCCAAGCATAGACATGGGGAAGTGGGTAAGGAACCCCAACCCTACCTGAGGAAGGGGAGAGTCAGTCTTGTTTAAAGGTGAGACTCTTGGTAGGCTGACCAGGCTCCAATGGATGGACCCACACCAAAAGACATTTGGGGGACACAAAATTTGACTCTATGAGCCTTTATATAAAGGTGGGGTTACTAAGGGAAGTTATAAGG